TGCCTAAAGTGGGAAATGTGAGAAGAAGGTTGCTTCTCAGTTCCCACTTAGGCTGTGTTTATATACGTGTGGTTGAAGGCCACGTGGGAAGCGCCACGTCATCCAAGCACACAGCCACCTCCATCTGGGTACCTCCGTAAGAGGTCCTAGGAGCGTCCGGTGTGCGGGGGGTCGTCCGGTGTGTCCGGGTTCGGGCGCGTTACACTGCAGCCGGGTCAATGGTACATTGATACAAAGGAAGTCGTCCGTGTGATAAGAAAGGAATAAAGAGGAGAGAGAATAGAAAAGAAGGAGAAGAAGAAAGGGAAGGGAGAAAAAGGGGGAGAGGGGGGAGGTCGGGAGGAGTGGATGGTGGGGCACCGGGTTAGGTGGGGCTGGGTCAGGCGGGCGTGCCCTGACACCTGCCAGATATCTTCATTATTACGAATGAAAAGTTTGTGTAAGGGATTAACCTTACTTCACTATAATTCCAATTATAGTGATATCATTATGTTGCATCGCTATAATTCCCATTATAGTGATGCTATTATTTCTTTATTTATTTGCGCCGAGATATGTAATTTACATATATATACCTCGGAGTAGTTGTAAAGGCCCAGTAGCCTTTTACCTCTACCCCATTGAATATACAGCACATTTAAGCTTATATTTAGACGGACTAACTGAGGCCTGAGGCGAATGGGGGAACGGAACGTTACCGTCCCCAAATAAGTAAGCAAACCTTTCAGTTTGGCACGAAAGGGGGAGGAGGAAGGAAAGGCACCTCCAGCGAGTACCAAGCAGTAACGAATGGCTGCAATGAACTTGGGACACTTGCGACATCATGCGATGTGGTTCTGTTCATGAGGCAGGTGGGGAAGCAGGTGGGTACGATTACGTTGGCGAAACACGTTGTAACGGGTCTATCACCACTAGACTCAAGACAGAAGAGAGGGGGAGGGTTGGAGTGGTCGCATGCACAGGTTTTGTTAACTTGGTGTGGATTTCACTACTCCTCACTGTCTAGCTAACTATACAGCTGGTCACGGTATCACGGAAGAGTCCGAAAATGACAAATAAGGAAAGAACAATAAGAAAAGGAAACATCCGGCTCTAATGGAATCAGAAAAATCAGGAAAAATAAGAAATATGCAGGAGAGAACATTGGCTAAGGGTGGTAGAATCGCGGGATTTAGCTTGTTTATGGTACACCGGCAAATCCCTGTTACAATGTACCCCGTGACAAAAACACCTAGGTGCAAATGGGATCCCGGATGGCGGTTACTAGGACCCTTCGGCCCTCTCCCGCTATGAGGAAGACGGCCGAACCAAAACAGGCTATGGCATAGTGGGATACTCATGTGGAAAAGTCGCATTTGAAGAAAACGGAGCCCTAGGCGAACACATAGAAGCCTATGATGCCGAAATGATGGGCCTGAAAACAGCTGCAGACCACATCAGACGCACCCTGGATGATGGTAACGTCACCACCAAACCATCCCACATTGTTTTATATGCAGATAACACAGGAGCACTAAACCAGGTTTTCCAGGGAAAACCGAGCAAAGGGCAGGAACTCACAAGAGAGTTCAGGAAAACCATGTGCAGGATACTGTCCGAATTCACAGACGTGAAGATAGCACTTCACTGGTGCCCAGGACACTTCAGCATACCAGGAAATGAACATGCAGACCAGTTAGCGAAACAAGGAGCATGCCTCAGACCCGTGCAACCCAACTTCAAATCCCTCTCATACGTAGCAAGTCTGCGTAAGAAAGAGATGGCCGAAGCATGGAACCTCCGCTGGATGAACACCCCGAACCCACCCAAATTGGGATTCCACGCAGCGAACCAACTCGCACCGAAAATTAAGCCCACAAGTGTCAGGGCCTGGCCTCGGACTCGGAGGCTCCCTGACCTCAACCCCCATCTGGCCTGTCCTCACACTATGTGGGGCATGAGATGTATACTAAAAGGAAAGATAATATACACTTGCCTATGCGGGGCATGAGATGAGAAGAAGGGTAAAGGTCTCATCTCCCCGCATGGTTGCTATATAAAGGAATGGGTCACATGCCCACAACTATACAGCTCCTAGAGTTGTGTAGTGTGACCCGGAGGGAACATCCAGGTGGCAGTGCCCAGTAAGTGTGGGAACGTTCTGGGCAAGTTGCTCGCCCAGAACTGTGGCTGTGACCCGTGGGAACATTCTGGGCGAGCTGCTCGCTCAGAATGTTCCCACGCTATCCCGTGCGCGCGCGTGTACACAACACACAAAGGCAACAACAAGGCAACAGTCAAAGAATAAAGGGGGTAAAGTAGGTGGGGAGTCCGGGACACCCTAAGGCAGGGTGCTGAACCCTGACAACAAGACGATTCAGCACACTAGACAGGAAGACTTTCAGCCGAATCACCCAGTTCCGCACAGGGCACGCCCACATTGGTGAATATTACCACCGATTCGGCATTGCATCAGAGAGCAAGAGTTGCAACTGCGGGAGACCAACACAGACCAGGACACACATACTATCCGAGTGCCCCCACGTCAGCAGATACCAACATAACCTTGGATGCAGCAACCAGACCAAATTCAATACTCTCATGGGCAAGGTGAAGGGCATAGAGAGACTTGCAACCTTCATCAAGAAGTCCAAGACGGGCGACAAACACAAACGAGACACAACTGGTCAACCCATGAGACCCACCCCCATACCATGGGCGCCCCAAACAACCACAGCACAGCAGCAGTAGAGCGGAAGCGAGGAGCAGTAGGACAGAGCGCTATTTATTTTTCTTTTCTTTTCTTTATCATACCAAATCCCACTACAATACCCCAGACATTACAGAACCCAAGGATCGCTGACACCCGAAGATACCAATCAGACACCATACCACAATGCTTAGATTATCCCCTCATGTACGCTACGGTTTCAAGACAGGGTAGCTGCACTGCCACGTCATCACGAGGCTGCGGGGTAATAAGAGAGATTTATCATCATCATCATCATGGCGGTTATGTTAGACACTGATCCAGGGTCGGCACCGAAGGTCGCCGATGCGGGCCGCTATTGGCCGCGATGGCCGCGATGCCTCAGACAAGGCCCGAGGGTAGGGCATTTGGCCTCAGCAACTCTAAAGGGAGTGCTGTGCCCCCTAGCTGTCTCTTGGCCCTCATTTCGGACTCACTGGGGTTGCCTTGTTGGGGTCAGGACTTAGGGGTCGTGGTCACATCGATATTAGAGCTGAGGTACTATAATGTAGTATACAGGATATATATATGAAGATAGAATGAATAGAAGCGGACCCGGGCCGAAGGCCGAAGGGTCTGGAAGCAAATAGGAACAACGAGCGGGGTTGGCCGCACAGCGGCCGGCAATGACCGAGGGTCAAAACAAACAATAACAGATAAATAAACGAAGGGGTGTAGGGCCGCGATAGCGGCGATGGTATCATAGCGGAGTAGGCGATGTCGCAGAGTCACGCTAGGTCAGTGCCAGAGGCGGACTCGGGGCAGGGAGGTCGGTGTGGCTGTGGGGGAGTCGGCCAGGTGCAGGGGAGCCTAGGGGCAAGCGGGGAAGTGAGCAGGGAGTCCTCATGGAGGATAGGGCTGAGGTTGGGGCTCGCGCTCGCGCTCGCATAGCGGGAATGGGCTCGGGCGGCATCGGGATGGGCGGCTAACAGGCCGGGATGCATGGTCGTGACAGGTTACTACTAACCAAATGACATAACTTTGAGTACAGTTTGACACACCTGATCCTATAACTGAGTCGAGGATGAGTAATGTATATCAAATTGCGAACTCGGAGTGGATGCGCTCACCGAGCTGCCCGATTGTTGTTCCAGCCTTCAAAGAGTTGGAACGAATGTGTCACGACCCGGCGTTCCCCGGGGCCAGACGACCTCCTCCCTGACCTTCTCCCACACCCGAACACTCCCCGCACACTCCACTTGCCGACCGTCGCCATCTAACCACTTCCTGCCACCTCTCCACAACACCCCTCCTCTTTGTCGTTGAACGACCTAGCGGTGCAGAGCGCTGCGACCCATTGTTCCATGTTTCGCCGCACCTTGTTATCTCGCGGCGAAGGTCACACTTGACCTTCGCTGTCTTGAACACGTGCTCTTTGTTTGTTTTCCTGCTTCTTTTCTCTGCCCGCAATCTCCGCGAGATCTGGCGACTTATTCCCTATTCAGTTCCCTAGCGCTTATATACAGCTTGTAACTAATGCTTGTACTGTAGTTCAAAATCAACTAGAATTACCCCCTAAAGCTTACCTCTGTCCCCTGTAAGACCTCCGACCTTCTGAAGTATCGGGACCACGTCGAGAACGAGGCGCAACGCTCCTCCTCGAGTCGTTGAAGCCGAAATCCCGGCTCACTTGCCTAAGTAGCCTCGGCCTCGAGATCGGTGGGGTTTATCCCTCGCTAAAGCTCGGTCGTGCATAGGGCACCTTTACCACTAGCGGGAAATGTTCGGTCGCCTACGGCTACCATCGGCGAAGATTCGCACGGTTCTGACAGAATGTCAAACGCCATGCAGGGAAATCGGAGAATCAACGAACGATAAGTGCAGGTAACCAGATCGACCTGCTAACTAGAAATGTCTCGGGACGCAATTAACCTTGGTTATGTGGACATTCGTGATAGAGAGCTTACGCAGGCGAAGCCGCAGTACAAAGTACAACTGAACAACGGCAGAGCAGATGACCTATGGGGAATTTCTCATGAAGTGGCAATCCCGGGGATGAAGGGAATAATTAGCAAGTACCGTCATCAGCTGGTGCAGGCTATTGAACCTGATAAACAGGTGAGACCCTAGTGTACGAAAAACAAAACGAAAAAGTGTCCATCACCATTCATTCGTGAGGATTCCATCTATTATTAAGAGGCGGTAGAGGAAGTATGCAAGTACGGCCCTGTGAACAAGAACCGACTGATGGGCGAGCAGAGGGCAGCTTAAAATAACTCACACATGGAGCATCTGCGCCAGCCTGTATTCCCAGATGATAAAGATCTTGCCATCACTTGATAGTTTGACGAACACTTTGATATATCAGGGCGTACCACAGAAACCCGACAACGACTTTGACACCAAAAGGATCGGCGGGATATCCGTGATAGTAGAGCGATGTCTGAACAGTAACTACGCCGAGCACACTTGTCAAAGTGGCCAAGCAGTAAGACGAATGTCATTTGCGATGTCAACCAGGCCCACTTCAAATTACGCACATCGCACTGACTATTCCCGCAGCGAGGAAGCCTCCACAAATGTTTTCGAATGTCGACATCTTCAGTTCTACAGTGGCTCTTCGCAGAAACCAAGGAATTTACATGGCCCATTTATAGGTCTGCACGCTTCACACTGGCAGTGCTGGGGAGCTCTTAACTCCTGGGTCCCGATACCTAATTATGGAGGCGACTTGAAAGATGTCATTGAACATACAAGACGACCGCAGTTGGCCGGCGCGGCGATAACGACCGATTATATTGGGCGGGCTGAACCTACGGTCACTTCGGCTTCACGCCGTCTCGCCGGCGGCATCCTTTCTCGGATCTATCCGGGCATTCTCGGGTTGCGCAACGACCTTAAGTAATGGCTCTGCCTCGACGTCAGTGATGTCACTGATATTCCCGCTACTCTGTAGCGGGTCTTGTAAATTTTTCGACCCTGATTGAATGCGTTTGATGACAAGGTCCTCTATTATTGCCAATTCTAGATAACCCAGGGTCCTCCCAACTCCTTACACCGTACCGCTTCCTCGTTTCAATGTTTGCACTGTGTCACATATTCTCTTTCCCCCCTTTCTCCGCGTGTGTCCATCTTTGCAACCGATTTCCGGATTATGACAGATATCTTCATGATGTACTTACCTTTTTGCTCTCCTCTGTATGCCCCTTCGAATATCAAAAATGGTCTACGCACTTCACGCTCTTTCAACCACGATGACGTCCTATCTTCCCTCCTTCGATTTTAACAAATCACCCAGACTATTGTTCATACCTTGGAGTCTGTATCTTCCTCTGACCGGCTCTGTGCTCTTTGTTTTTGCATGTCCGGAAAAAAAAGAGGGGGGGGTCGAACACTGGATGGACTTGCCGGGTTGTTAGTGATATGCCCTGATTGGGACAACGGGGGTGAAATGACAATTGGGTGTAGAACAGTGAAACGGTTGGATTATGGGAATTGAATATCATTTCTTCATCTTATGCACTGATCTTTTTCCGTTCATGCGTTGTGTCTCGTTCGCTGGGTTAATTTTGTACGTGGGTTGGATCTTGAACCCAAATATATTTTGGAACAAAGAGTGGCGGGACCTGCCGCGTCAGGCGGCGTCCACCAGTTATTAAGGATGACGCCTCTAATCAAGTTGAGCCAAACAACGCTCGTCTTTCTGAACTTGGATGCGAGAAAACTCGAAGCTGGCCACAGTGAGCCCCTGAGAACGTGCGCCGCTGATCCCCTGTGAAATTACTTATGAAGCGCACTTCCACATGAGCGAAAGGCCCCACGAAGGATATGACCGGTCTACCAGCAAAGTGTTCCTTCGGGAAGCGCGTCACTGTGGGAAGTTTCCCTGTTTCATTGCTCCAATAGCTTCCATGACTGCTCCAAGTAATATTACGTGGGGGGGGAGATGTCTCGAAGCAATTTGGCCACACTAAAATTATGAGCAAATGAGTCATCGAGTCCTCACAGCCCAAACCTAGTGCTAGACGCTCAATGGTGCTCGCTGTCTACCGATGAACATGATCGCGGTCGGTGAGGGCATCTTCAAGCATCGTGACGACTGAATTGAATCACAATAGAAAGCGGACTGAGGTTCAACATATTCGAAACCGGAGGATGGTGCTTTCAAGCAACCAGTACGGACGTTGAGTTCCGCCCGGGTTCGGTACTCGTTAAGGATTGCCGGGATGCACGTGAAGAGCCACATATCTCCGCTACGATCTCTCCGTTGAATTATCCTCCCAGCCATGGGTAACAGGTACCTAACAGTGCGGACTATGGAATGTACACACCAATGGCTTCTGTGCTGCAGACGCGGCTCTGACGTTCTTGTACACGAAGATCCGCAAGTAGACCCGAAGGGACATCTTGCGAGCCCAGTGTTTTCGCAATCTGTTCACCGTTGCTCGGCGTATACCCATCTTATGGGCCTTCAGAAGATCAGGGAACTCGAAACAAATACGCATCCACTCCCTGGCAGGTACACGATCACCTGTCGGGGCCATGTCAGCGAGGGTGAAGCCTGACATGTCATGCTGCCACAATGTCCTATCAAGTTGATGGAGGCTTCCTGCACCTTCTCGTGACGATTCCGTAGGATGGGAGTCATGCGAGACACTACGTGGACGAGGCGACCGTGACGAATGCGTGGAGCATAGGATTCAATCAAACAAGGTCTTTAACGGGAGGCTGTATCTCTATCATGTCCACGGCATTAATTGGCAATGGCGCCTTCCACTGCTATAATATTGAACCAAAGCCTCAACTATAGTTTCATATAATAGTAACTAGATGTAAAACGTACCTTCCCATGGCGTCGGGATACTCCTCTCCCAGATGCCCGAAGCGCACGACACCCAACTATGTGAATATCAACTACTACCGAAACAATAAACCATCACAAAAGACTTACCCGACTGAGAAGCTAGTCCTCTCCGCATTGCATTGCTTTACAACGACCGTAAGCCGAGTAGTTAGGTCAGCACTGGCCTGCTGTCGCACCTTTGTTGTTTAGCCGCCACAGAATCGTATCCATAATTTGAGTCAGATACGACTTTTACTACACGGCCGGATCCCTAGGCGAGATCAAAACTAGTAACAGGAAACCCAATAAAATCTTACGCACACCCAGAGTGTCCCGAACCCGTCGAGCATCACCTGGTCTTCAGTTGTTTGCTCCTGGAAAGCGTAGATGATCCCATCGACTAGCCGGATCTCCAGTTGTTCGTCTATGCATGTCGGATGCGCCCAAAGACATGACTACTTTTCAATACGGCTTTGCTTCATCCTGTTTGACATAATAAGTGGGGATTCACTAAGAATTGCATTCTTACCCGCCTTGAGGCCATTGACTATTCGGCCCAGCCTCTATAGTATAAACTACAATTAGTTAACCAGAAAAGTCGGGGAAGATCTACTTTTGGTGAGTGGCCATGCAGGAAACCATATAGAGTCGTCAGAAGAAGTATGATTAAACAGCCCTAGCAACCAGGCAAAAGATCCGCGGACATGCGTTCAGGCACCATGTCGCCAGCCTGAGGCTTACATCACTCACCTAGTATCCGGTATGACACTAGGTATGATTGAGCAGGTGTGACGAAGGTGCCACAATAGACAGACAACGCAGGTGGAGGTCATACCATGCATTGCAATAAAATTAAGTATTCAGAAAAACCGGCCCATAATATCAAGAAAAATAAGTGCGGTAGTTACGCTTGTGCAGAAGCCAAGAACTATGCTGTAGCTTTATAGATAACATCATGCAGATTTTTGAGATCGAAAAGAGCGAGGGGAGATGACTTGTGCTTAAGAGGCGCTCAATGAATGGGAATTGACAGCAAAGCAGCAACGATAAGACTCCGCCGAGGTATTGGAGGACGCCACATGTACGACTCTGTTGGCCAGAATTAAGCACGGTATAGCTATGGCTCCTGATCCAGAAGGAAGTTTCTTAACTGACATGTACCAATGGACCAAGTTTACGATGCACACCGTTTTTAAATGGGATATATGTATTGAAATGCCCTTTGCCCCAGTGCTGTGAAGGTGCCTCCGCAAACTTGAACGTGCGTGTAAGCTAAGGCAGGAAAAACAAGATTTGGGGTCAAGCCGAGGGTACGCTGCAGAATGCTGGGCTCACTTGGCTAATAGTGTAGTGATGTAAGCTCCACCGAGCGGCTAGGACCAGTCAAGCGATCAGCTAGCTATGGTGAGTCGAAGAAGGCAACTGACCACAGTGGAAAGCAGAGTCGCGAAGTGGAGGCCATAGAATACGAACTGTCCAAAAAGTGGGTCAGTGCTCCCTGATATTCTGATAATCAGTGGGAAATGAAAGCATAAGCCATACAGCAAGCAAGCCGATAATCGCCAAGATGCTAGAATAAAATGAAAGTGATTAGTCCCAAACGCTGCATGAATCGCTCACAAGAACATTGGAAATCGAACCTAGTGAATGCCCCAGTATTGAGGGCGTATATCGACAACTTCCTGATCACCGAATCGGTCCTAAATACAAAGGATTATATTCATGACAGACCGTGATCATTATTGACACTTACAGATGAATGCCCGTGCGGTTCTGTCGGAGGAAATAGCACACTGAAGCTGCAATGAGAAGGTCGGATGCGGCCTGAGTGACGACTTCATTAGAACACACGAAAAGTTTGGCACAAAAGCGGGCACCTCCAACGAGAGCCAAACAGTAACGAATGGCCGCAGCGAACCTGGGATAACTTCAACATTCTGCGATATGGTCCTGTTTATGAGGGGGGAGGGAAGCACATTAATACGATTACGCGAATGAGCGGGAGCACCACGTACGCCTTGATAAAAACGTCTGGGCGATCCAGATGAAATATGACCCCGGGCAGCGGTCACTACGAATCGAATGATATAGTTTACTGGATAGTTTGACGTACATAATCCAAAAGCTAAGTCGGGTATGAGTAATACATATCAAATCGCGAGCCTGGAACAGGGCCGGACGGGTGGACTTACTGAACTGCACGATTGTCATTCCAGCCTTCAGAGATCAACGTCAACGCCTTGCACAGAAATCGAGGAATCAACGAACGATAAGTATTGGCAACCAGATCGAGCTACTAACTAGAAATGGCCCGGGACGCAATTAACCCTCGTTATGTGGTCATTCACAATAGAAAACTTACGCAGGTGAAGCCGAAATACAAAGAAGAACTGAACAATGGCAGAACTGATGACCTACGGGCCACAACCAAAATTTTTTCATCAGTCGTTATCTTGTGGATGAAACGGATTGGAAAACATACCGACATCATCAGGTGCACGGGAGCGAACCTGATAAACAGGTGAGACCCCATAGCTCACGAAGAGATTAAGGTGCCCTTCACCATTCAGTCCCCAAAAAGATGACACCAAAATCTTTTATCAAGAAATGATAGAAGGAGCACGTAGAAACTACGCTGTGGACAAGAATCAGGTTCATGGACGAGCAGAGAATAGCTAAAATTAATTCACACATAGAACATCTGCGCCAGCCTGCATTACCAGATGATAAAGAGATTTGTCATTGGCTCATACGAATGCTCCGATGGATCGGTACGTACCACAAAAACCCGACGACAACTTTGACATGGAGAGGATCGGTAGGGTATCTATGATAGTAGAGCGATCCCTGAACAGTAATTACGCCGCCCAAACTGATCAGAGTGGCCGAATGGTTGGGTTGCAATGATGCATGTGAGTCATCTAGCTCCTTGCCAAAAACTCCAATGACGCACATCGCATTGACTATGCCCCCAGCGAGACGACCTCCATAAAGGTTTTCAAACGCTGAGATAGTCATCTCTACGGCAAGTTCTCGCAAACGTAAGAGACCAAAAGTCCAAGTCAGCTAGCCCTTCACTCCTCATTTATAGGTCTACACGCTTGAGTGATGCTTCTTAGCCAGCCCCTGAAATAAAATCCAATAGCGAATACATTATCAACGGGTCTTGTGTAAAGCAAGAAAACACTTCAATCAGGCGAGTGGCTGCCGACGGGGCTGGGCAACCGATGAATGTCCATTCAATTCGCAACATTGAACATGAACGAAAATCCTTGGCTTCATGTCCACCATCGTGGTAAGCTAGCACCGCTCTTCGGGCCCCAGATTATGCTAAACCAATTCTGCAGGCCTCAGTAAAGGGGATTCGTCGGGTCCGAAATGCAAACTGTCGCAATTCGATCACGTCTCCAATCATGTTGAGTTAGCCGAGCCCCCACTTTTTGAATATTTGGCTGTCCTGGGAAGTGCGCCGCTGATCTCTTGGTGAAATGAAACACTTGCATATGGCACCGCACTTGCACATGAGTCGAGAAAGAGCAAGACAGATTCATTAGCAGAGGGTTCTTGGGAAGCGCATCATTAGATCACGGTCTGCCGCACATGATGGGACCGCTGTTGTATCTCCATATCGGCCGGGCCTCGACGATGGATGTCAGTCGAGGGGGAGTTCTGCTACCACAGCGAACACCCGGCACGGGCCTAAACCTTCACGCGGTGCCCCTGTTTAAAACTAATTAGGCCTCTAACATCTGAAGGGAGGATGACGTGGCCACCGTGGTAATGCCAATCAACCGCAACCCCGTAAGCCCAGAGCCGCACTGGCTGGAGAGATGCAAGAGCGCGGGTGCATGTCCCGCCGTCAAGCCAACCCTTCCTTTTTCTTCTCACCACTACCTTTTTGGGATGACGAGCGCGATAGTGGCAACGCCAATGGTGACCTCCGTAAGCCCAGACGGGACTGGCCAGAGGACTGTGGGTTCAAGTCCCACCGTCACCCCAACCCTTCCTTCTTTTTCTCTTCTCCACTACCTTTTGGGTTGGTGAGGTGCAATAGTGGTAGCGCCAATGGTAGCCTCCATAAGTCCATGGGCAGGCCGGAGGAGTGCAGGTTCAAGTCCTGCCATCACCCCAACACCCTTCCTATTCATCTTTCTCTCCACTACCTCTTAGTGACGAGGCGCGATAGTGGTAGCGCCAACGATAGCCCCATATGCCGACAAAAAGTTGACTGCAAGGAATGCAGGTTCAAGTCCTGCCGTCACCCCAACACTTTCATTTCTCTCCACTACCCTTTCTACCAAAGGCCTATCTGCCACATGCCTTTATTCAACAAGCATGAGCAAGATGCCACCAACACCCATCGCCTTTCGCTGCCACTGGAACATTCACCAGCCTACCGTGACATAAACCCGTGAAAGCACCCTCCAACTCACCCACCCGCAAGAACCGCGCACTCAAACATTGACTTAACCATAGGCACACAGCAGCAAAACATGCGACCCCAACACTGGGGGTCGCGTGTCCTTTTCTTTGGCTCTATACAACCTCTCCCCACCTCCATTCTCCCTCACCCGTTGTTCAATCTCAGTGCAGGGGTCGCATGCCCCTTTATGTGTTATTGCTTCATCTCACTTTATTCTCCTTCACACCATTGATTACTCGATGTCTCATACTTCCTAGGTCACACAAATTCCTTTCTTCACATCCTTATGTTCTCCAAACTTTTTTCACCCGAGTCACTATAGTACGGCATATGCCGATAGGCACGGTTACGTACTTTAAAATGAATACATCCATCCATCCATCATCCATCCATCTCCATATCGGATCTTCGATGCCATCGCTTTGAAAGCGAGTAGCCGAATCGATGGCATGCAGGCTTTTGACTCGTTCGTGGCCTCAGTCTTTATCACTTTGTACACTAATTCTGCCACTATACTACCGGGAAAGGTGGGCCGAATTCGATTCAACCTCAACCGACATCCCAGTTCTTATGGAGCAGTTCATCTCCCCAAGGGACTTGGGCATGCACCCATAATCCGTAATCAAATTTTCTCCAGGCCCACAGTCCAGGGCCGCGACCAGTACTTATACATAATTGGCTTCTCTTCATCGCCGACTGTTCTCATGTTCTTTTGGCCGTTTTAGTTCAAAGGACCCTGGAGGTTGATGCAACTGCAATCTCCTGGTCAGACTCCGAGTCCGTTGGGGTATGTGTGCTATGTCGGGCTTCTGCATAAGCATTTATTGGGCTTGCAACGCACTTCTAGGCAACCGTTCACTGCAATTCCGAACCCAACTTTCCTGAATCTTGCAATTGGGAATCTGAACCTTTTTGTACCAACGTGTCATGCCGTTGGATGGGGGTTACGTCCGATCTGGCGGGACAAGACAATCAACCATGAACCGATAGACCAAGGCAATCTCCTGCGAAGTATGCTCAATAAAAGATGCTAACTTAGCAGCAATCCTGAGTCAATTCCCCATCAAGATGGAAAAATCTTATCACGTTGATCATGATGTCGCAGTCATACTGCCTGGCACAACATATTTGCACTCATCGGTGACACTGAACAAGCCGGATGATCTCAATCCAGGTTAGGATTAATCAATTCCCTGAGGTGATGACTTCCTCAGCCAAAACCTTGTCCACAACCCGCCACATCGGAGCCAAAGCGTTGACGGGACTTGTTCGGGGTACATATATCTGGCTCAAGTCGCTGTTCCGGATATGCCAGGTCCAACTTATTCCTTGAATGGGAGTCTCCAACAAAGTAATTTCCCCTCATCACACCCGTTGACGGTGGCTGAATACGTCGATATAGAAGATCCTCATGCCACTGGGCCCGCGCTCATGATATCATTATGTCGAAGTCACCTAAAAGAGCTCGTGCTGTTGTGATGACTTGCTTCCTTTCCTCCGTCCATACTGGGCCCTGTGATGCCCAGCTATGCTCAAGCCCGAGTCTCAGAGGCCCTTGATCTGATCCACGCGGCAGCATATAACTGTGGCGTACTCCGTCCGGGGGATTTATATCACGCACACAAACGTAGGACAAATTTCAGCTCTTCCTTTTGGGTCAGCTCCTCCCTCCTAGCTGCTTTCTTGCCCCCGTCGGCTGTAAGCAGGGTCGGTATGTCGGAATTGGAGAACATATATGGCGGGTTCTTCGTCGGACTGGTGCTGAATGCGATGTATGTGAAGTTCTTGAGATCAGCGCCCACCGCCGTGCCTTGTGCATCAGTCGGCACTGACGACCCTTCCTTGTGTGACCACCGATCATTTCCCCCCTTCGAATCGTTGCCTGCCCGCTACAGTTTCCACGGTTTTACTACCGTGCAGATTTGGCTCTACTACCGCACGTACACAAACGACCGCATCTGTGCCAAATTAGTTGTCGGTTTCTTGTGGTAAGCTCAGCGAGGGATAGGATATAAGCAATGAGCTCATAATGCTTGCGTACACTTAGGCTCCTCCAGACGTTCCAGGTGTAAGTCCACGCCAGAACCTCTTCAGATATGCCCTGCACTGACCTTTGGCCCAGGTCGATTGCGACCTATTCTTCGTACAGATCCTTGGTGGGACATTTCGGAGTTCTCATGTCGCATTCGTCATGGAAAGTTCCTGTTGGCACTGACTCTGTTATGTTCTGACTTGCCTTCCAATAGGCACGATGCTATTTACGTGCCCATTGCGGTGCCCACTTTCAAATCAGCCAACGTCCCACTCGACTGACGTTATCACTCGTTTACAGGTCATCAGTTCCGCTATTGTCCAATTGTACTTTGCTCATCGGCTCTATAAATGTGAGTCGCCTTTCTAGGATACCTACCTTCGCATGAAATATTGCTCAGCTTGCGAACATTTCTAGTCAGCGGATCCCCCGGATTGGCTGTTGTTGTGGTACGCAACCGGACTAGCGTTCGGGGTGTCGTTGTGATGATCCGCATTTGAATCTAGGTTATCTTAACGATCGGACAATTCGGTCAGAGAATTGAGTTCTACCTTCACAGGCTGACACTAAATGAGCTTTGATTTCTCTAGGAGTGGGAACCGGTACGCCGATCATTGTAACTCACGCTCTATGATTCTGACTGTACCCTATCCAAGCCCTTTCGGTTCAAGTGTGGGTTCGCGCTACTTGCCCTTTTTTCCGATGACGTAATGATGTTCCTAACCCACTGGTAGGAACTTAGTTCACAACCTTCAGAACATCTTCTATCGAGAGCGACCACTTATGGTCTCCTGGCTCATCCTGGAGGCACGTCCCTTCATAGTGACACGATGAATACACTGGGAATCCCTCACGAATCCCATTCTAATGGCGATCTTGTTTAGGCTCTGGACGACCTGGTTATTGCTTTTTCGGTGTCATATTTCTTCCGACGGCGACGCACTGGGATCCCTTCGTGGGTAGCCCAACACTCCGATCAGAACTGTTGATCTGATGCATTCCATGACTACAATTTTCCCTTTCGTATTGAAGGACTGATTCAGCACTTCGACTGCTCACGACATATGCCATCAACTCGGGTGTGCTAACTAGGTGCCTATAATCAACTGCCGACCTGATCTCGTTTTGCGTGCGATGAGCTGATTCTTCTCGGACCCACTGGCAGCGCGATCGCAATAGTGATCATGTTTGATGTGCTTTTATTTCCTTACTCACTGACTATGCCAGGAATGCTGATACCGGATAATCCCTCTAGTTCGCACTCTACGGCCTCCATTTCGTACATTTTGCTCTTTGCCCCGTGAGTCCCGCGTGCATCCCCAAATTGGCAGTCCCTCTCTTCCCTTGCTGATAATTACACTAGTCTCTTGGTGGTATTTATACCGGTAGCCTTTTGGCAAAGTACGTCCATAGGGCCATCAATCATTACTTTCTTACGGGGCCCATCTTGCAATTTCACGATAGCCTACATTCCCGCAAGAGAGCACGGGAACGACTTCTTCCTGATGGAGACAACATCCCTGGAATACGTTTATCACTTCCCCCAGACACTGTACGCATGCATAAAGCGGTGCTGAAAACCGTTAGATTAGGACATAACTCATGGGACCCTATCCATAGGCATGAAATATGACCACCCGCTTTGTCGAGAGTAGAAAACGCAAATTTGAGCCAACCTATTGACGCGATGTTATGCATCCACTGTGGGCAGGGTGCACCAACGCTCCTTTGGTTTTTCTCTCCAAATATTTATTCGTGTTCCTCGCACCACGCCCGTTAATTAACGTTCGGCAAGACTTGTTTGTATATCTAACTTACTGTCACATATATATATACGCCAATTGAACGAATGTCGCCTACCTTGGATCGTCTCGCGGCCCCGATTGATGAATCATACACACAAACCAAACGGGACAGTGACACCATTCCGAAGATAGCCACACATGACGGATGTGGACAACGCCAAGCAAGCGAAGTAATCATAAAGATGTGAGTGAGGATTACTGATTATATGAGCAACATGATAGAGATAAGCTAATACAACCAACTATTCCCGG